AAATTTTATAGGATCTGTTACTTGTTTTTGATCCTGAATTTTTTTATTATTCCGATTTAAGTAATGATGCGTTTGACACTTTTATTCCATTGAATTTATGTGTACTCGGTAACCTCTATGTTATTTTTTACATCAAACACAATATTAACACACTTTATTTCTTACAATCTCATCTAATAAAACTATTTTGTTGAATGTATAAGTATCTTTTTATATATTTTCATGTTTTGTACACTTTTGCAGGTCAACTCTCATTGTTTGATAAACATATAACATAAAATTGGAATAGACAATTTTTTAACATATATAAAACAAATTTTTCAAAATTAGTCACAAAATTCATGTACTACACATACAAATAATATTTTAAGTATTTTTTGGTAATGTACTGCATTGAATTAATTAATTTTTTTTAATTTATAACTTAATTTTTTAGTAACTTTCAAAATTTATAAATTTCTGTGCGAAACATGTTTTAATAATATATTTTTTAGTTAAAACAAAATGTACACTGTTAAACAAAAAATTTAATATCATCAAAATAATTAATAAACTCGTCAGTTGCGTTATTAAAAAAGGGTTCTTAGAGTTCTTAGTTTTTTTAGGGTTCTTAGTTTTTATTTTATATTTTTTTTAGGGTTTTTAGTTTTATTTTTATTTTTTAGGGTTTTTAGGTTTTTTTAGACATTTTGACGTTTTTAAAAACGTCATTCCAAGTGATGTTTTCTACCCAACAATTTTTTTTTAACTCATGTTATGTTTATCGTTTTCAATGCACTTTGTTTAACGTCATTTTCATTGACGCCTTTAAAGACGTCGTTAGGAATGACAATTTCAATAAAAAAAAATTTAATTTAAAATCGTCATTTGAAATGGAGTTTTTTCATGAGAATGCGATATTCAAAATGACGTTTTTAAAAAAAGACTGAATTTGATAAATTTGTTTAAAGTAGGCTGGGTTTGAAAATAAAGTTGGTGGGAGGCTATTTTGGTCAAAAGCTCTCACTTACTCCATTACATATTGACAATGGATTGATTTTGTATAAACACTTATGTGCATCATCAATATTAATATAAAAAAATAAATTTTAAATGATTAAATTTTAACATGAACTAAAAGATGATACACATACAATCATTTAACATAAATAATAAATGAGACGACTTAGTATAATATATGAATACCTAATTTTAATGAGATAAACCCTTTTATTTAATGTTGTATAATGAAAAAAATTTACTCATCTTTTTATTATTTTATCTGTTATTATATGAACCATTATATAATGAAATATTTTTTTTAATTAATTTTGTCAGTTCTAAGATCGAGGGTCTTTTTGGGTAAATCAATGTAATATGGTAATGGGTGGATGGAAAAAGATAGGCGGGATTGTTGAAGAAGATATCAGTGACGAGCTTACTTTGAATTGGGTGGATAGTTTGAAGCAAAGGGTTTTACTTTGAATTGGGGATAGTTTGAGAAGCAGTCGGAAAATGCCTTGCCTGAACCTGTCCACGAACGTGAGCCTGGAGGGCGTTGACATCTCCCCCGTCCTCTCCGAAGCCACCTCTACCGTCGCCAAACTCATCGGCAAACCCGAGGCTGTATGCTCTCTCTCTCTCTCTCTCTCTCTCTTCAAAGAATTGGGGGCCGTAGCAGTTACCTGTTTTTTATTAATTGAGTACAATAATCTTGTTNCTCTCTCTCTCTCTCTCTCTTCGTTCAAAGAATTGGGGGCCGTAGCAGTTACCTGTTTTTTATTAATTGAGTACAATAATCTTGTTTTTTTTTTTTTTTTATGAATAAACTCTTGTTTATGAATCCACTTCCAATAGTTTATCACAATTTTTGTTTGGCGATTTACACGTTCAGGTTATGTGCGCGACAATATTGACTTTTTTGTATTGTTATTTTATTGAATTTTGTTTGATTCGTTTGTTTTTTTGTGAAATGAAAACATTCTAAAGTCTTAGCCAAGCAAACATATCAGAAGAGAGAAATATTTTGATGGCTTATCACTGAAAACAAGTTTACCAACTTTTGGAGGGTATTCAAATCTTTAGTTTCTAGGCAATGCGTGCTCTGTTTTGGTTCTTCAAATCAGGGCCGGCTCGAGGTAGTTTGAGGCCTAAAGCTACAACTTTATATGAGGTCTTTTTGCATTTTTCAGATAAATTTTACTTGTCTCGTTATTTAAGATACAAAATTATTAGTGATTTTTATGGTATTGCTACCAATTGATAGTATCACATACTTCATTTTTCTTGTGACCTAGTCAAACTAGTTTGATTTATCAATTTGAATTCTGAAAAACATATTTTCATGTAGCAACTAATATAAGTAATATCAATAATAAATTGTAATCAATATATGCATTCGAACAATAATATAATTGATGCAGGGGAAAGGGGAATGCTGAATTCTTACAATGATTAAGTCAAAAAATACAAATTTCCGCGGAGAAATTAATCAATTCATATTCATAAGTCTAATTCAAATAATTTGGATTACACCATTATTTATAGGACAAGTGTCCTATCCAAATAAAATGTACTCTAGCGAAAACTCTATCTAAATTTTTTAATGAGATGAATATTAGCTAACCAAATAATCTAATAAATAATATAAATAAATAAAATTTTAATCTTCAATTTTATTTCTATCCAATCCCTTTAGGATCCTTATCAATAATCTTCCTCCATAATTTAGTATGTTTTTTAGAAGTCTATATCTATATAATAAAGTACAATACAATTCAAATCTCAAAAGATAAACAAAATGACTTTTGTTATTCGTGGTTGAGATCGCTTTAAATTTTACTTTAAAGTTAATATTAACTCCTCAAATTTAATAGGGAAAATAAGCCCCTTAGAGTTTGTTTGGAGTAATTTTTTAAAAATACTTCTAGAAATTATTTCTCATAAGTACTTTAAAAAAATAGTATTTAGAACCGTTCCACCACTACCTCTACCACCACCACTGCTTCACCATTACCACCATTGCCACCACCCCCACCATTGTCGCTGCCGCTGTCACCACCATCACTATCGCCACCCTGCCATATCCATCGCCCCACCACCACCATCACCGCCGCTCCAACCACCTTACCACCACCATCACCACTTCCATTGTCACACCACCACCATAACCACTACCACCACCGCCCACCACTGCCACCATCACCCCACCATCATCACTATTATTACCACTATCACTACCGGCCCACCACCACCGCTGCCGCACCCTACCATCATCACTACCGTTGTCGCACCTTACCACCACTACTTCTATCCCACCATCACCCCTACCACCCCCACCGCCCCACCACCACCCCCATGACTATCACAACTACCACTACCATCGTCACCCTCATTATTGCTACTGCCCCACCTTCACCCCCACCTCACCCTCATTGCCCCACCGCCGCCACCACCACCACTACCATCGCTACCCACCACCGATTGCTACCTTCGTTGTCCATGGCCACCACCCACCACCATCGTCATCTTATTCCTATATTTATTACCGTTACCAACATCATCCCACTACTACCATCGCCCACCGTCAGCACTCACCATCACCCATCGTTACCCACCATTGCCACTGTCATCTACCTCACCACCACCATCTGTCATTGCTCATTACTGCAGCCACCCACTGTCATCTATCCCCACCACACTTACCACCGCCACCATTCACCATCACCCATCACACTGTCACTTAAAAGCAACCATTGTCTCCCACTACCACCATCATCACCGCCCACCCCAATCGTNCCACCACTGCTTCACCATTACCACCATTGCCACCACCCCCACCATTGTCGCTGCCGCTGTCACCACCATCACTATCGCCACCCTGCCATATCCATCGCCCCACCACCACCATCACCGCCGCTCCAACCACCTTACCACCACCATCACCACTTCCATTGTCACACCACCACCATAACCACTACCACCACCGCCCACCACTGCCACCATCACCCCACCATCATCACTATTATTACCACTATCACTACCGGCCCACCACCACCGCTGCCGCACCCTACCATCATCACTACCGTTGTCGCACCTTACCACCACTACTTCTATCCCACCATCACCCCTACCCCCCCCCCCGCCCCACCACCACCCCCATGACTATCACAACTACCACTACCATCGTCACCCTCATTATTGCTACTGCCCCACCTTCACCCCCACCTCACCCTCATTGCCCCACCGCCGCCACCACCACCACTACCATCGCTACCCACCACCGATTGCTACCTTCGTTGTCCATGGCCACCACCCACCACCATCGTCATCTTATTCCTATATTTATTACCGTTACCAACATCATCCCACTACTACCATCGCCCACCGTCAGCACTCACCATCACCCATCGTTACCCACCATTGCCACTGTCATCTACCTCACCACCACCATCTGTCATTGCTCATTACTGCAGCCACCCACTGTCATCTATCCCCACCACACTTACCACCGCCACCATTCACCATCACCCATCACACTGTCACTTAAAAGCAACCATTGTCTCCCACTACCACCATCATCACCGCCCACCCCAATCGTCGTCGTCCCACCATCACCACTGTCAACCACAATCACCGTCGTTCACCACCAGCGACACCCATCACCACTATTGTTGCCACCCACGGCTGCCTCTACCATCATCGTCACTCAAAACACACCACTAACATCACCGTTGCCACCCACGACTGCTACCACCACCACAGTCATCACCTTACCCACCACAACCATTACCGTCTCCCGCCATCACCATTGTCGCCCACCACCGCTCACCACCAATACAATCGATGCTTAAATTTTTTTATTTCTCCTCTATGTTTGTGATTTGATTTTAGATGTGAATACAAATATGTTGACCATTTTTTTTATTACTCCGTACCTTCAAGCACAAGGAATAACTAGTAATTCAATTTGTTGATGAGAATATATATTATTTCGGTGCCCAAAACACACACACACATGGATGGAGGGGGTGGTTGATGGTGCTTTTCAATTGGTGTGATTTACATGATTAGAACACTATTTTTCTTACAAAAGAAAAAATGTAGTGAACACCATTCATTTCCTTGATCACATGTTGTTAACCTTTTGGGCCTAACCTTGTATTTTTTACGTTGGCCTTAGGTTTTATGAGACTTTTTTTGTGAAACTTACATTTTTATGGAGACTAATATTTTGATATGGAATACTATAAAAATATATAAAATTTGGGGCCTTTTTTAAAGTTGAGGCCTAAAGCAATGGCTTTCTTGGCCTATACCTGCAGCTGGCCATGCTTCAAATTGATGGAGGCTTGAGTGTTCTCCACCTTTGGCTGACTTGGCTCAATAGGATATGGCTAAATGATGACAAAGTATTCTGCGACTCTTCTTCTCTCATGTGTTCTATTCGGCTGTTGTCAACCCTTGGGTTGGGTATCCTGGGAACACTGTCTAGGTTGGGAGGTGAATATTTGGGTTGCCTCAATTGAGTTTTCCTTCCACACAATTGTTGCCAAGAAAAAAAATTCTGTATTGTGGAATGCATGGCTATGTTTTCTTAGACATGATGTTTAATTTGGTTCAAAGTAAGTTTTAGTCTCTCCCTCTCAAAAAATGAGCAACACCCAATTTCATGGACTAAAAGGTGTATTCCTCAAAAATGTCTTCCTTCATTGCAGTCCATGTGTAATATCTATGAGGCCTTCTTTTGTGTTACTTTTTTTACAATCAGTCTCCTTGAGCAATCACAGGTTGTCCTATTCTCCTGCTATAAATATAAGGGTGTCCAGAATCCAAATCCCATTCTTGCTGTGATGAAACTTTAGAGAGAGAGAGAGAGAGAGAGAGCAAAGCATCTGTAGCAGTTGTTATGTAAGTTCTGACTCTCTTCAAGTATCTGAAATCATACTAATTCTTAGTTCATGTGTAAGGCACAATCCCTATTGCTGTACAACTGTACATATGATATTTAGTTGTCTAGATTTAAAAAACCTGATTCTTTGGACAAGGTATTTCGTTTGCTGGTTTAGATGAAACCTTGTTTTTGCAGTGAAATTCATGATTTTCTTTGCAGTAAATACATCATTTAGTGATTTTTATCAAAACTACTTTGTAGTTTTCTTTTTTATTTCCTACACGTTCCCTTAAAGACTTAAAAGGGATTCATTTTACTATTACCTTCGAAACTTACCTTGTTCCTTTAATCATTTTCTCTACAGCGTTGACCTCTTGTGATTGTCTTTCTGCAGTATGTGATGATAGTGTTGAAGGGTTCTGTACCCATGTCATTTGGTGGAACTGAGCAGCCAACAGCGTATGGTGAGTTGGTGTCCATTGGGGGCCTCAACCCTGATACAAACAAGAAGCTGAGTGCTGCTATTGCCAGCATACTTGAGACCAAGTTGTCCGTGCCTAAGTCACGGTTCTTCCTGAAATTTTATGACACTAAGGCAAGCCATCTCATGTCTCTGAGTCATCTTTAAGATGTTTCCTTGCCTTGCACTTGTTCAACTCATTGCATGCTTGCTGTTTATTTAGGCCCATCAAAGTCAGGAATATACACAATGTCTACATGCTTTACACCAGTTATAGATCATGTAAATTCACTGTTTTAATCATGAACAATGCCTGTATCATCTTTCTGTTATCTTAAATGATTTTGTTCTTGTTCTTGATCTTGATCTATATGCCTGTCTAGTGTAGGAGTAATTTCATATAATTTTGTGCTACTTTTATGGTACTGATTGCTTCATTTATATCCACAGGGCTCCAACTTTGGATGGAATGGGTCCACCTTCTAGATTTCTTGTTTCTTTTTTTACTGCTGGGAAACTATCTTGAACTTGTGAACTGGATGTCTGCATGGAACAAAGTAATCTTATATCTACGTGGTAGTTTGTAATTATTACTTTTGTGATGATACTGGTATGTTCTTATATCTGTGTTCCAACTGAATATGTTGAACATCGTTAGATGCCTCTCTTTTATGCACCTTTCCCCATCCTTACGGGTTGTTTTTATAGTCGGGCTGGCAGTGTGGAAATGCTTGGATATCTTTGTTATCTTTAATATATATATATAAGTTATGAGATGGAAAACATGGCATACCTGTGATGGTTTATTATGATTTACATGAATCCTGTCTACTATTTGACTGTGGTTTAGATTTGTCCAGGAAGATGATTATTGTTATGCATTTCATGGTCCTTGTATGGATATGTTGCACAACTTAGCTGTTTCCCTAATTATTTCCCCATTCCGGTGAACTTTGCCATAGAGGATCTATTTGAAGTGAGGAAACCTTTTGAAGTATAAAAAATGCAATGTCCATGTGGCTTATTAATAGGCATATTTTGAATGCATTTTTGTTCTCACGACTGTTGCACAGTAATTTTTTCTGTTTTTCTATATTTTCTTTTTCCAATCGGAGCATAGAGAAGATCGATATCTTCATGGTTTTGCCTGGTCATGTGCATCATAAATTTTCATGTCAAGTAGCACCTGTCTCAATTGCATGCTGTCCCATGAAAACGTCTCTATTTTTCCTATACATGGTAGTCCTCTTTTGAGAACAAAGATATGTGATGTTGCAGCTTACCCTTTTTGTAAAGAGGAAGTTCGAGACTCGCCCGTTTGAGAAGGGAGACATGGAGTATTTATTTGTACATACTTTTGCATTGGCTGTTATCATCATGTCCATCGTATGGTCTTCATCAATTGTACATATTCTCCTATCACGGGAGCCTCCCATTAGTGTGGAGCCATCTGATAGAGGTAGAGGGTGTTGGGGAGTTTTCGGCCAACTGTTATGAATATCGAATCCATGTTGGTGTTTTGGACAGGAAAATGGCGATGTTTGTCATTCAACCGGCCATGAAATTGAACGAGAAAAATGACAGACAGAAAGAAGTTGACTTTGTCCAAGTAAGAAAAATAGTAGTTTGTGAAGTTTGGTACCGAGTATAGCATGCTTTAATCCCCAAGCGCTGGAGTTGAATAACATAAATATACACTCTTAGCTTGCTGGCTCTCTCACCTCATTAATCCTGGTCAACGAAGCAAAAGCAGATTGGATATTGGAAGAAAGGCTTCTCCCTTGGGAGACGGTGTCAAAGCGTCTATTAGAGTCTATTGCATACCTTTAGTAAAAAAGACGAACGATAAATTCAAATATCTATTAACATCTCTTTAAGATTAAATTATAAAGAATTTATCTTTAGGAACACTTTAATCCTAGCCTCGGGACATTCCTGATAATTCCATTAGTTTTTTAAGAAAAAAGAAAACAAAAGTACAGGCCAAATGAAACCGCTAATCTATGTGGAACATGTATTGATTTCTAAAGATATTCGATTAAATATGGGTCGGATTAAATGGTATAGTTATTTCTTAAAGTTTCTACCTGGACCCGTATATCTTAGTAGAGAAAATTTAATTATTAAAAATATATATTTCCGGATGTGGGGAAAGCAGTATTACTGCTAACTAATATAAGCTGGTCCAAATAGTATTTCCTGACGTGGGCAAACCAATATTACTGCTAGCTAACTAATATAATATTTTTTTCCAATCAATTTCTATTATTAGATCGGTTCTTAATGAAGATGAAATTAATAATTGATAAATTAAATTAAATTAAATAATTAAAAAGATTAATTATATTGGATGTCTCCAAAGTATAGAATTTATCTCATTTTGTATTTAATATTTTAATAGTAAAATTTTAATTCCTAAAATATTGATTATGTTTCCACGTGGTTTTTCAGGTAGATAACATTCAGATTGCTATCGATTTTTTATCATAAACTTATCACGTAATATTTAAATATGGTAAAAAAAAATAATTTGAATCAAAATTTGGATAGTTCATAATCAAAATTATATAATTTGCATGATAAATTTATGATAAAAAAATTATTAGTAATTTAGACACTGTCTGCATGAGAAGCCAAGTAAAAATATATTCAATATTTTAAAGATCAAAATAATACAATTAAAATATTAAGGCTAAGATAAGATAAATTCTTTATTTTAGGGACTTGGGTGCAATTAAATCTAATTAAAAATTCACCCTTATTTTTTCAGATATCCACCACCGACGATATTTCCTTGTCATTTTTCCATTCATCACCATCGTTCGTTGGCAACCTTAACGAAGAAGGAAACATCTCCGATCTCCTCTCTCTCTCTCTCTCTCTCTCTCATGTTGAAATAATACCCCCCCCCCCCCCCCCCCCCCCCCCCC